GCACAACACACACGCACAGGGTCTGGCGAGGGGCAGAAACACAGAGAAGGAAAGAGGATGAGCAAAACAAGCACAGAGACTCACTCACACGCACACACACGGGGAGCGCCCCGCAGAACGCATAAGTCAAACAACAAAGAAAACAAAAACCCACAAACGCAAGTCACGCGCCGCCGTCTCCCGCCGCCTTTTAACCCACCACAACGCGCCCAACGCCGGCCACCTCCCTCAGCGCTGTGCAGCAGGAGTGCGGCGTGGCGCGAAAAATAAAAGTAACGATAAATGCCAAAAATAACCAAAACCCCGCAGTGGCACCGCCGCCCCCCAGCCGCGCCATGGGGCCCGTGGACGTGAGGCGCCACAAGAGAAACACAAAACCGCCTCACCCACCACGCACGGTGGCTTCTTCTTTTGTGCGGCATCCCCACGTGGCGCTGCCACACCGCGTTGCCCCAACGGGACCTCTTCCTTTTCCTTTTTCCTCCGCGCCGGCCCCGCCACCCGAGTTCCCACGCCCCTGCCGCACTGTCCGCGCGCCGCACGCAAATAACATCCCCCACGAACACTTATCGGCGGTGGTTTTCCCAACCGTTAAAAATATACCTACTCGCTTACTCTCCGGGCTGCTGCTTCGCTGCGCCGGCGGTAATGTGATGCGCACCCGCCGCCGCAAATCGCAGCCCAACCAAATCCCCTCCCGACTATTTAAAACAAAAAAAATTTTTACTGCAAAGGCGCCCAACAGAGTAAAGCTCCTGACCGCCGCTCCCGCGCAACTCCCCGCACGTTGCGTCCATCCGCCCTCTCAGCCTGAAGGCCCCTGCGGCGCCCACCTCTAAGCCCTTTGCTCGGGACGCAGCGCCGTGCCTGCCGTCCCGTTGGCGGCCGCAGCCCCGCGCGAGACTCCCTCTCTTTTCTACGCCGAGCCCGCAAAAGGCCCTCTTCCCTTGCGTGTGTGTGTGTGGGTCCGTGGCACGCGTTTTCAGAATCTTAAGCGACGATCGCCGGCACTCACCAACCGCCAGAAACCCTCACTCGAGCCGAGTACCTCACCCAGACGTTGCGCCACTCTAGCACCAAGGCTGCGACATATATCTGTGCAGCGCATGCCCTCCAAACCGCATCCTTTGCTCTCCCGCACAATTTTCACAAGTTGCTGAAACGGATTCTTCGGACACCAAATGTTCCCGTCTTTACGATCAAGGTAGTCGTTGGCAGCCGAGGCGGTAATCGCCTGCAGGGCGCTCTCAACCGCCGCGGTGCGCTCATTGAACTCAGCCTCAGTCAAGACGTAACGTGGCAGCGGCCCCACGTAAAACATGCGACTGTAGACAGCCCCATAGTACTTATTTCGTTCCTGCTCAGGGCAGTCACGCTTCCTCCAGGCACACATCGCCTTCACCTCTTCCTCGTCAGGGCAGTTCATGACGGTGAGGCCCGTGTGCAGTTGCGTCGCCAGCGCTTTGTAGTTATGTTGTTTTAGGGATCCCAGCACAATCATGCCCCACCCATCAGGCGGTAGTCCTGACGGCGGCGGTGCTCCTTCCTCCGACACATCGTAGACAATATACCCTTTTTTTCCGCGCCGGGACAAGTCGTTAATTGCATCGACAATACTGCCCGCGCCCTCGTGCTCCGTCACCGCTTGCGTGGTCTTGTCAAACACGTACGCCAGCTCTCCCCCAAGGCAGTAAATAGCCACCTGCAATTGCTCGGCGTCGTAGTGGAGCAGCTGGTAGAGGAGGTAGGAACCGACAGTCATCGACTGCCCGATCCCGGGCGTCCCAAGCAACAAAACTCGTTTCACGTCAGAGTCTCCTCCCGTGGAATGGCGGAACAACATGCGCAGAAAGCCATCGAGGCGCTTCCACACCCGCTCCGCCTCGGCGGTGACGTAGCAGTCGGCAAGGGCTGTGCCCTCCTGCAGCGAGTACGGCCACCCCTTCTCGGAGGAGAGCACCATCAGCCAGGGGCGCGGTGGGGAGAATTGCTCCACGGCGCCGTCCAGTTCAAAACTCATGCCTCGAGACTTGTACTCCCACGACTGCGTTGGCCGTTGGCCCTCCTTCACCTCCATTCGCACCAACTCCTCCTCGTACTCGTCCACCTCGGGAAACCCCAAGACGTGGCTCCATTTCGCGTTGAGCACAGAGCCGTAGAAGCCCTCCGGCAACGGCAGCCTGGTCCTTTCCTCCTCCTCCTCCGGCTGCGGCGCATTAGTTGCAGGACTCTCCTTCTTCCCGGGCCCCGCCCTCGTTCGCTTTGGAGGCATTTTTCCTTGATCTT